CAGCACAACCCAACTTAGAACCCCTGGAACATAATAGTAATATGGTGTAAATGACAAAGTTATTATAACAGCATGTACGAATGGGTTGCACTTTTCATTTGAAACCCTCTTGATAACAATGTTTTTCGTGTTATTCTCTGGTGGAAATATGTAAAGATTCCTGGCGTCTCGAACTGTTGAGCTCCCAACGTACGGCATGCACGTATGGCACGTACGGCACGTAACAGCATGTACGAATGGGTTGCGCTTCTCATTTCAAAGCCTGTTGATAAACAATGCAGTCGTAACCTCTGAACTGTAACCTCTGGGCTGTGCTCTGTTTTAGCTCGGTGCTCGGTTTCGGTTTCACAATACCAGCAGCTGATGGAATGAGTTATCGATTTTTCTGTGTGGCAGCACTGTACAGTCAGTGCTGACATTGTGTGAAGATTCACGAATTGAGGGGTTTTTCACGGATTTTTCGGTGAGTTTGACGGTTTGGCAGGTTTTTTTCAGCTAGGAACACGCCCCGGGTATAAGAGATGGCCCTGTGAAAATTGCATCCAGATCGCTTGGGCGGTTTGGCCGCCTATAGGGAAGATACATACATACATACATAGATACATAGATACATACGAACTCAAATATATATTAGAAGACTAGCTGCGGGTATACCCGCTGCGCTGGGTAAAATCGTGCTACTAATTCATACTACTAATAATGGGACACAATAGGAACATTGGGTAAAAATCGACAGTAACATTGCACACAATATCAATATTTAGAAATCAGTCTATAAGATAATAGCATGGGAAAAAACTGTTACGTATGACATTTATATGACAGCACAACACAACTTAGAACCCCTGGGACATAATAGTAATATGGTGTAAATAACAACCAGTTATTATTATATAACAGCATGTACGAATGGGTTGGACTTTTCATTTCAAAGCCTCTTGATAAACAATGTTTTTCGTGTTATTCTCTGGTGGAAATATGTAGAGATTCCTGGCGTATCGAACTCTTGAGCTCCCCACGTGCAGCTATACATTGTTTGATCGTACCACGAATAAAAGAAATTCCATATATAGTATAGATAGAGACAGGCCAGCGAGTGGGGTCTGTGTCCACTGGATATTGTCTAGTGAATGCTTGGGCGCGCAACCATGCACATTGAAATTAAGAAATTTTGTATTGAATCAGAAAATGCATAGCTTTGGAATGGTACAATGGCATTCTGAGATCGTAGCATCTGAACTGAAACTCTGAACTCAGAGGTGAGTAGTACCTCTGAACTGGTCCTGGTTATGCTCTGTTTTAGTATTGGGTTCGGTTTCGGTTTCACAATACCAGCAGCTGATGAGATCATGAGGTGAGGGCAAGAAATAGTCCAAGGTTTTTCTGTCTGTGGCAGCACTGTGCAGTGAGTGCTGAATTGTGTGAAGATTGACGAATTAACGGGTTTTTTCACGAATTTTTCGGTGAGTTTCACGGTTTGACAGGTTTTTTTCATCTAGGAACACTCCCCGGGTATAAC